CAAAGTCAATATTTTTCTTTAACAACTGTGAATATCAAACAATCTTTCCCTCTCTGAAAATTCATTCATTGCTTAACTGGGAGAACATTTTCTGCTTTATGACTCTGCAGCGACGTTTTACTTCGAGTCATGATACGTCATATTAAATAGTCGTTTTGGTTGAAGAATGAGTGGATTACGAGAGGTAGATTGAAGCAAAGTTTTTCCACCTTGATCTTCACATTTTACAGAAAAAAATTTTACAGAAACACTTTTACTGTCGGATTCACGAGACATCTGTGAGATACCTTAGAGACTACAGCTGTTAGTTCCTGTAAACTTGATTACATCATGTTCTCGAAGAAAAGCCCGAATAAAACATGGTAAAATCAGGATCCCAACGGGCACAAAAAATCTCTTTGGGAAAAAATCTCTTGCCTCTAAAAACTTAAATATGATCGATTTTCTGCATGATTTTCTTGCTGTATTTTCGTGACAGCCCTAACACAATTTCCACCGAAATGAAGCTACTAGAAATATGACTGTATCAGAAAGATAACTCAATATTTTACACTGAGCTTCGTATAGATTTTCACAAGCACACTTTTAGCTACAAAATAAGATGTCTTGCAGCTTTTCACGATGCTTTCTTTAAAATATATAAATGGAACAAAACGACAAAAATGGTAACGCACAGACATTCGGTTGATCGGCAAGCGGAATGACTGTTCAGACACTTTCTACTTAAAATACGGCAGTTATAAAAAAAAAACACTACTGTTTATAAAAATCGGTAAAGACAAACTATGGTTTACTAAAGTCATTTTCTAGCAAAACTTCCTCCAAGAATGGAAGATCATGAGCTAAACCGTGCGACCTTTAGAACGAGTTTGCGTAAAGTTTTCTCCAAAGTGGGCTGCTCTTTTAGGACCACCTATCAATCCGAAAAGAAAGGACGGGAAACGGTTTCTGCTAGAAAATCGCCCAATATGATTTTGAGTGGAAATGATCGGAAATGCCTCCCTTTTCACTTCCCAACACTTCCTATTCACATAAAATAACATAGAATTCGAAATACTGAGACTTTCCTGACGTATTGCCAGTGAGATAAAAAGTAATCTCTAAAGGTTTCCCGATCGACATCGAAAAAAGCATCATGTTCTAAGATGTCGCTGATTCACCGTGAGTCTTAGTGTAAAAAGATTTACAAATGCAGTATTGAAAAGGGCAAAAAGAATTGAAGAAAACGTATTTTAAGTTTGCTGAAATGGCAATACAGTAAAAATCGAATCTATCCATCGTTAGTTAATTACAAAAATCAAAAGAAACAACCATTTTCTTTTTTTATATGTGATTTGGTTACTTACGTAGACAAGTACGCGTAGACAACTAAAAGTGTAAAATATAGTAATCGTTCTATACGTTCAATTAATGTTTTCCAGGCCGCTAGACTAATTAAGAACAAGAGAACAAAATGCCTGTATTTAAAAAGTATCAGATATATCCGCCTGGAAATAAATGTTTTCGGTCGATTTTTTAAACTTATTATATATATAGAAATATATTTTTCGAAAAGTAATTGTATATTCTGGTAGCGCTTAAAATTCTCTATTATTCTCTGCTTTTCCAGCCCGAAATCAAAATTATTTGCTGGCAAAAATTTTGAATATTAGTAGTGTCCCCCACCTATGACAATTCCAGGAATTTTAACGGGTGTGGCCTCTCAGTATTTTCTATTTCTCTCGTATTTCTTTAGGATCCAAAGTTTAATGTTTTCTTAAGAAGATACGCCACGAAAATATTACACAAAATCATACCTAAACTTTAGTTTCAGAACGTCAATCAAGAAATCTACGCAGATTATACGAAAGACGAAAACTTTGATTATACGAAAAAATGAAAACTTTGAAAATCTGATATTTTTTCTATTTAAATCTTTTCTTCTGCTGTTATTTCCATAAAAAAGGGTTGCAAAAGTGAGAACTTGTGAGGGAACCACCCGAGGTGGTAAATCACTTTTTGATCGAAATCTAGTGGGTTATAGGTTATCGACCATGGGGATTCTCCATAGCCCTTCGAAGACCCGGTGTTCTGGAAAACCACTTTTCAGGAAACTCTAAAAAGTGACCAAAACCTTTCTTAACGGGACATGATTGTAGCGCGCAAATTTCGGATTAAAAGGAGATATCTCCCAGCTCTACACAACCTTTCTTTGCAAAGTTATAGAATTTACAAGAAAACCCCTAAATGTTCATTGTCAGCTTTGCAAAGAAAGGTTGTGTAGAGCTGGGAGATGTCTCATTTTAACCAGAAATTTGCGGGCTACAATCATACCTCATTAGGAAAGGTTTTGGTCATTTTTTTAGAGTTGCTGAAAAACTGGTTTTCCAGAGCAATGGACCTTCGAAGGGCTATGGAGAATCTCATGGTCATATTCGGAATCAGCATGGTTGATAGCCTATAACCCACTAGATTTCGATCAAAAAGCAATTTACCACCACGGACGGGGGGTTCTTTTTGTACCTTCGAATGTGTTTTTTCTCGTGGTCCGTAAAAAAAGAAGAGTTAGTTGAAGAAGCATAGAGTGCAATGTGTGGGAATACGGTACGTGGGTGCATTAACAATATTCGAAATATTTGTCAGCAGGTAATTGCAAGTCAAGGTCGGCGAAGTAGAGAATGCTAGAGAATTTTAAGCGCTATCAGAATATATATTAGTTTTGTAAAAATTAATTTTTGTATTTATAATAAATTTGAATATAACGACTTTTTTTGAAATTAAACGACTGAAAAATGCAGTTTCGTGGGAATCTGCCAATGGGGGTACTTTCATTATACCCGAAATATTTTTCAGAAAATACGTGCAAGTCAAGACATAAATTTGCAGGGTGATAGAGAATTTCGAGCTCTTTCAAAATATATAATTACTTTCCGAAAAATATACTTCCATACATATAAAAGATTCACTGACTGAAAACATTCATTTTCAGGCGGATAGAACTTATACTTTTTTATTGTTCGATGTTATTATGCGATGACGACATTTCTTTTCCTTCTATACTATCATATTCGAAATCAGCATCATTGTTAACATATGTTTACAGTCAATATTAATTCAGTGAAAACCCGATCTAGCATCTGAAGGACTTCTCTGGTTAGGCATCAACCTTTCCGAACGATAAAATTCTCTACGATCTTGAACTACGCGTTTTCTTGTTGTTCTTCTTTTTCGTATGAACATGTTTTTCTTCCCACATTGTAAGTGTTGAGTTAGGAGAATAAAGTAGTCAAGTTTATCGGGTGAAATAAACAGAATGCTTAATTAAAATATCGAGAATAAATCAATTTTGTTTTTATTTAACATTAATAAATTAAAATTCTAAATACTTAAAAAAATCGCCTGCTTGCTCATGGCGTAAGTTTATAAAAGACCGTTATTGTCCAACTTGTCTTGTGTCTGTTTTGTTCAAAAAATGTAGAGAGGCAACTAAAATTGAGGATTGGATATGTACGTCAAGAGTACGAGGTATATTTTTACTTTTGTCAAATTTCCATTTTATTAAATAAATGGTTTGGGTATAAATTGGGCGCGGTTATGTTGCTAGTTATTCATTACATTAATACATATCATGTATTAACTGGAAATAACTTTCCAAACCACTCGTTAAATTCATGCTCATCACCTTGATATTTATATGGACGTGGATCACGTTGTTTCAATTCTTTTATCTTTTGTTTTATACCAGCAGCTAATTTTGGACGACATTCAGCACTTTTTTGTTTTTGCTGCAAATCACCCATTGTAATCATAATCTCTGGACAATATTTTTGAATAGCATTTATTATTGGCTGATCAGTTAACTTTAGAACATCAACTAATTCAAAGGTTTGAACTTGTGGTTCAAGAGACACCCCAGACATTCCTTCAAATAAAAGATCAATTATTTCATGGGCATTTTTTTCATCAACCATAAATTCATTAAGATCATCAATAACATCGTCATCCATACTTGATTTTGCTGCTCGCTCTCGAATTGTTGAAAACAATTGTTCGAGTACAGCATCACTAATATTACGACGATAAGCACTACCTTCATCTTCGTTTACCATCAATTCATTATCATTATCCTCAGTCGTTCGTCGTTTAATAGTTGGCGATTTAAAATACATTAGAAATGCAGCATCATTGAGACTACGGCTATGAAGATTANTATCGTCATTATTATCCTCATTTATCTCTCGAATTGTTCTTGCTGTTGATAAATCAAGTCGAGCTAATAATATAAACAGTGAACAAACCATTATCAGTTTCATGATGATTGAGTTTTTCGTAGATGGTTACTCTATCGTGGAAGGGTTACAGTTGTTTGGATATTGTAAGTATGATAAATAAAAAAACGTATAAAATACTTGTGTTGACTATGGTCTCGTTAATTTTTTCTATTTTATGTAGACAACAAAAATAAATACAATTAAAAATAATTGAAGAGAAAAGCTGTTTTTTTCTTCTTCTGATCTCTTTCTATTTCTTTCGTATTTTTATTATCAAGATGAATAGTCATGCCTGGGGTTGTTCCAAATGTCTTCATCACTAAGAAAGAATAAGAGGTTACACATAAGCGGGACCGCTTTTTTCGGTTCCTGCTTAGATCCAATGGTCTGCTGAAAAATTTTGACCTTGAAGCTAAGCTTGAACTTGAAAAGAAACTTCCTATGCGAGAAAGTGCAGGAAAAATCAAATTTACTGATACCAACTTTTAAAAAATTTGGTCTGGATTCTGTTCCCGCTCATGTGTAAAAGTGAGATAGTCAAAAGATGGCTAAGTGTGACATTGGTGGAGAAAGAGGAAACTGATCCCTAGAACGACGTTGTCGATAGGAAACTTTTTTGAAAGCATGTAAGTGAAGGTATCTCAGACTTTAGCCTAGGAAGGGTTTTTGCTCATCATCTTTACGGTAAAAAATATTTACGCTAGTGGAAGGATACTAATAAATTTTTCTGATGACGCCAGTTGGATGTAGGATGCAAAGGTGTCCGTATGTCGCAAAAGAAATGGTAACGTTAGATGAGAACAGCCTCCTTTTCAATTGAAAGTTTATTGTTGTTCTTTCTTAAGGATATGGATAAGTATGATGAATAAAAAAAAGCATCTAAAACTATATGTTGATTATGCATGTCACTCTACTCTCTCTCTTATATGTATAAGTGTGACACATATACCAACGATTCATGCCGACAAAGAATCATCTGTAAAATCTGTTCCACTTTGAGAAAATTCTCGGGAGCATGATCCATAGCCGGAAAAGTATGAATTTTGATACAGCTCAGTATGAGATACAAAGTGAGGATAGTGAAAACTCAACGACGTTTAATGAAAAATAAAATTGAACGATCTGTGTGATTACACTGTAAAAAATATTTACACTTACAAATCGTATGTGTTATACAATAGATTTGGGTTAATTTTTGTAGTTTTTTAGAGTGAAAGCATGATAAGCGACAAAATTTCCTCAACGTATTATTGAAGATTTTTTTTCTCTCTACAACCATGTGGTGAAGTGTCGAAAAAATACCACATTTTTATAGAGAGTCAATATTACTTCTATCAACAGATTTTTCATTACTTTCAACTGTATTTTTTTTTAACTATGTTTAGGATGGCACATGAGAAAAAAGTGTTAAAGTGTTTCTGGCAAACCGCTTGTGTGTATCAACTTCTATTTTAGGAGTGTTACACAGTGGGCATTTAGGCGGCATTTCGGTGAAAAATCGCAGGTTCAAATTTTTATATTTTGAATGATGACATATATACTATAAATAATGCCCTATTTAACGGTGAAAAGTTTTTGGCTCTAGCTTCTTCTAAAACTGAGAAAATCAAATTACAAAATTATCAGTAGAATTAGTATGCTGGCGCGTAAAATTGCATTTTCTCCGTCAAATTATAAGTTTTTTTTCAAAAAC